TTTTATTTCAAAGAAAATGGTGGTCGATATGAAAAAATCAGGATATAAAAAAGCTTCGAAATGGAACAGACAATTCAAAATTCTGCCGATAATCGGGCAGTGGCGCACAGCGAAAAAGATACAAGGGCAGAAAGGGACCCAGTCCCAGAAAAACTACCACCCTGTAAATTTGCCAGTATTTAAACCACCATATCAGCGAGGTGGATTCTGCATACTCATCGATACCTAATCAAAATTTGAGGCAAAAATCTGAAAAACTATAGGATTTACTAAAAATTCCTGAAACTTTAACACTCTGTAGCTTGATGAGAAAGCGATCACCAACCTATTTTTATAGTTGTATACAAAAAACCCTGTCGGTTGTCTGGAAATTTGCTGCTTGAATTGAAAAAACTACGTTTTCCATTTTTGACGAATTGCCGTCAGCGAATAAGAAAAAACACTCAACTAATTCATGATTCACCTCTATGACATAGTTTGATTGTAATTAGTTAAAAGCGGTCCTTCAACGAGCAGAACCAAGATTAGCGTGAAAACAGCGCTCTAAAGATAGGCGATTATGCTTCAAGGGTGTCGGGGGCCGATATTTACAAAAATGATGTAGTTAGACCGAAATATATACTGACGATTTATTCGCTCCTCAAAAAACGGGGTCAAAATACCAATATAAAATGTAGAAATCCTGCTGCGCCTATGAAGTAATCCAACAAAAATAGGTATGACATTGGTGGAAGAATATTTAATGAGGACCGTTTCTGTGCAATCGTTCCGCGATTTGTGTGGGCACGAATCGAGAGTGAAAATAGTAGAAAAAGGAGTGAAATTGACCTCTACTAGATCCAATGCTAGCAGGACCCCTCAAAGGCATCGCTATCCAGAACTATCAACGTTCAGTACAGTCAACCCAGTACTGAACGAGATTATTGCCCCCTAACTTCTACGCAAGTGGGGAAAATGAGGATTTGATGAGAAAATTCAAAAGCCCATTGTGTTTCACACAAAAATTGCTTTTAGTCAAAAACACTAAAACCAGTCCTTTCGGAGATACGTAGCATATTGTATCATTTTATCATGCGACATGCATGGAATTCTACGTGCCATCTGATGGGTTTTTGCCATTTTTCTCTTAAACGGCCGATGATAAGCTTTAGAGTAAGAGGACCTTTTCTGTGTACGAAACAATAAGCTATAAAATCGTGTTCCGAACGTGGCAATTGTTCCAGTGGTGTGGAAGTTAAGGGCAAAAAATTAGAATGAACCTCGAAATCTACGCCACTGGCGGTTAAAAAGTTGTGACTAAGCAAGTGTAGAATGGATGTTTTTTTGCAAAAATTTGACCATCGCTCTAGAAAATACCTCATAATGATAAAGACACTCCACTTTACAGAAAATCAGCATATTTATCACCTTAATAAAAAAATGTCGGGGATTTTTGCAATTTTTCAGGCACTTTGTCTCCTACAGTTATGTTATACTACAGTATAACTTTAAAGTTTCCCCAAAACTGCTGAAGAAACTTCAGCTAGGGCTTGGAAAATGAGAATCCCTTGATTGGGAAGATTTGGAAGCTACAAATGGAACCCCAAGCACTCAAGTGAAGCTGAAAACTGGGACCACCAGGTATATTTGAGCACTAGTGCATTATAAATTAGCAGTAAATCTATTTTTAGACCATTACTAACACTGCTATTGTTAAAGTAAACACCACATGCACCGTAAAGGAAGGTTTTGCCATAGTTTATATGAAAATGTAGGTGTTGCGCTTCATGGCATTATTTCACCTTCGTTTACTCCACATGCTTGTTTTATAAAAGCCATACCTACATGCCAGTAATAAATTTAGAAGGGCTGAATTTTCCATGGAATGAATGTTCACGAGAACAGTCAGTATCATAAGAAAGTGCAAACACCACAACAATTGAGTACCAGCTCACCTTTCCTCAAATGGGGGCTGTTCATGTCACCACTTTCTTTACTGGATTAGCAGCACCAATGTGGGTCAGCGGAGCCCGAAAACGACCGATCAGTGTTTATTATTGATTCTAACAACGGCTCAGTTGAGTAGAACTCCTGCGGAACAGCTGAGGATCCTGCTGATCGCCACAATAAACAGCCAGTTCAATAAATCCAAATAGTGGGAGCTGGGAAGTCTTGCGTAGTTTCATACAGGTGGACAAATAAAATTTCAAACTTCCCGCGCCCACGTTTCAAATGAGTTTTCCTTTCGTGCCCCAATGTTGCCGAGTGGTGTGCAACTGCCAGACTTTTGAAGCTTTTTCATATATTCGATGACCGAGGGGGCCAACAAATATTCCTTCACTTGGGCAACACAGCGCTAAAAAATGACACTTAGGTGACTCAGGTTTATCTGAAATGTTTCCACACGAAAGTAAATAAATACAGTTTAATTAAATTTAGTGAAAATGAAGTACTTCCTGCTTGCTATCTGCGTTATATGGGGCTTTGCAGAGTCACACGTGAGTGCCTAGTCTGTGATTTTTAAGAGTAAATCTCCGTGCAGGCTAGTCTACAGTATGGGGCCCCTGGAACTTCCCTCTATTAACCATTACACCTTTTCACCAATGTTCAGTCTCTCCAGAACCACATATCGGGAATCGTCCTTCTTTTCTAAATGTCATAAAACATCGATTCGTAATATTTTGGTCAAGACCTATTTTAAATAATATAATCCACAGGCTCAATTTGACGACAAACGGTGCAAATGTATCTGCCCCAGCCTGTCTTCTGTAACGAACAAAACCGACAAGACCCACACAGAGCGCTTGATGCGCACCACAAATGATCCACCTAATCAATGGTATGTTGTTCTTCATTCAGTAAATCAGCGCTGATTTGGCTTTTATTTTCAGCAACTGCGAAGTGGTGATGATTCCCCTGGTGGCTGATAAGCTGAATGTGAGCGAAATGCGCGAATTCTGTCCCAGATGCGAATGCAAGTACCAGAATCGAAACACCACCATCATTCGCTACGTGGTCATCATTGTTATCTGGGTGATATCCATTCTGGTCGTCTATATGCTGTTCTTGATCATTCTGGATCCGTTGCTCAACAAGCGGGTTAAGGGCAACTATCAGGAACACACCAACGAAGAGGTAAGGGAAATGAAGAAAATAATCTTCACGTGAAGCAACTGCATTATGTTCGTAATTTTTAGGAGGATACTCAGCCTGGTCCGATGTCCCACAATCTGAGCGTGCGAGGAAATGTGCTGAACAGAGTGAGTAATCAGCAGGACAAGTGGAAGCGGCAGGTGAAAGAGCAAAGGAGGAACATCTATGACAGACATACAATGTTAAATTAGAGAGTTGATGGTTTGTAGTTGATAATTTAATGTGATATACATACAGGTTTTTTGTTTGGAATGAGCAGACTTTGATCCTCACGTTGCTAAAGCTTACGTATTTCCTAATTTATATTAGGATTATTAATTACCGTGCATCCCATGTATATAAACGAGATAAAGTAGAAGCACATCTAACATGATTTTAGTAATAAGTACATTTTTGGAGATTCTTCCGTAACAAGCAGGTAATAGCTAACGACCGGATTAAAATGTTTTAGTTGTACTGTTGCCTTCTTCTAGCCCTCTGTTTGTCAAACCTCAACTCCATCTCCTCCAACACCTTGGGAGTGTAGCGGACAACCAACTTAACCGATCCATGAGCCTGCTTCAGCAATTCCACGGCTTTTTCGTGGTTTTCGCCTTCCACAGACTGAGAGCCAGGCAATTTCAATAAACTTCCCTTAGTCAACGCTGCCACTTACCACTCCATTGACGCTCAATAGTTGGTCGCCCCTTTTCAGCCCTCCATGTCGGTCTGCCACGCCTCCAGGGATAATCCTGGATATGTAAATAGGGGAGTTCTGTTCCTTGCCCCCCATCACGTTGAATCCCAACCCCTCGTCAGTTTTGGGCAGCTCCACCACTCGGGGATGAGCGTGGCCTTCGCTGGCCGCAAACGCCGCCACTGTGGCCTTAGCAGTAGCAGAAGCCCTAAGGCCCCAACGCAGCCGAAGTGAAACCAATGGGGAAAAGCTGGGCACTCACCTTACGTCCTGAGAGCCTTGAACATCGACAGTTTCGTAGACGTGCTCGTACACTTCGCGAACAGCATGCAGAAAATCACTTTGCAGAACTTTCTGCAGGGCTATCAGCTTGGTGGCTGGTACTTCGCCACTTTTCTGGAGCTTTTCCAAGAGCTCTATAGATCTTTTGATATCTACGGCAAAAGCGCTGAGTGGGGGGTTTAGTTGGGGTGTTCCACGTACCTTTGGCTAGAGTCAACGGCTCCCCTATTTGTGCCATGGCCTTTATTGCGCTCAATAGTGAGGAGTCTGTGCTTTATTCAATGTTTTCGTCTGGAAGTGTTCAAGGGAGTAGATTGTTTACAGTGAGAAGTGACGTTTTCTGTCAACGCAAAATAGTGTGGTATTATTTTGGTGATATTTGCAAATATGCGTTTTTCTTGTCTGATTTACATAGGATTATCCAGGAAAACATCACCTAATTAAATATCAATATTTTCGAATTTTTTCAATTTTTATTATGTGTATTTTTGCCACCGTTGTCCTAATTACATAGGCTCCAGTGATGTCACTACTGCCTTTCCGAGCGAAGTTAACCTTCAACCTAACCTTGTCCACAGATTATAACATAACCTCACTGATTCGTGACCTTGTACTTCAACGTGGTGGTAGTCAGAAACCCGGTGCTTGTTTATTTTTTGATTTGAGCAGAATGAGCGATACTGATGAAAGTTCTGAAGAGCCAGAGGTGAAGGAGGAACTGGACATTAAGCCCTCTACCAGTGGTTCGGTGCTGTTTCCCTCCGAAGCCAAGTTTTCCAACATCAGGAACAAGCAAGTGCGAGCCCAACAGTTCCAGAAACTCAAGCGGGAGCAGGCCAAAGTACTTCAGCCGATTCAGGGGTGAAATTGCGCCCTGATGTGTTGTGTTTTGATTTCAGGCTAGCAAGGCGGCCAAGAAGCAGCGCAAACTGGATGGGGGCCCTAAGAAAATTCCCCATACTATTGATAGTCTTCGGAGTAAAGATCCGACGACTGTTACTAATTTGGAAGATGACGAAAATGAGCTGGTACGAGATGATCTGGAAAAGGATGAGTTCAGTGATTATTACCGGCAGTCCTACGAGCCTAAAGTCCTTATTACCTATGCGGATAATCCCTTGAGGGTATGTAGTGGCGGTGGTGAAGGCACATGGTTGGAAACGATTTTTTTTGGTAGAAAACCAGAATTTTCGGCAGGGAGTTGACGAGAATATTCCCCAACTCCATTTCCCTGTACAGGAACCGATCAGGGGTGAAGAAAATGGTGAAAAGTGCCACAGAGAGGAAGTTTACAGATATTCTGGGTAAGTCCGAGACCTTCCACCCCCTCATTGGTAATCTTTATTGTCGTTTTCCAGTGATCAATGAAAACCGCAAGGAGCCCAACGGCCTCTTGGTCATTCACCTGCCTAATGGGCCTACGGCCCATTTCAAGCTTAGTAATGTGCGAATTACCACAGAACTGAAGCGAAACCACCGAAACATAACCGCCCATCGGCCAGAAGTAGTTCTAAACAACTTCACCACCCGTTTGGGGTTGACTGTGGGCCGAATGTTGGGGGCTCTGTTTCACTACGATCCACAATTCGTCGGACAGCGAGCAGTCACGTTTCATAATCAGCGCGATTTTATTTTTTTCCGGCACTACAGGTAAGAAGGGCCTGGCTTTACTAGCAGGACAGTTGTGAGCGCACCGGTTTGCAGATATGGGTTTGATGAGGATGGCAAACGGGCCCGGCTGAAGGAATTGGGGCCAAGATTCACTCTGAAGCTGTGTTCCCTGCAAAAGGGCACTTTCGATAGCAAGTATGGGCAGTACGAGTGGATTAAGGAAGGCAGAAGGCATGCAATGGAGACCAGCAGGAGGAAGTTTGATTTGTAACATGTTAATGGCGATTTTAATTAAAACTCTTCGGTAAATCTGTGTGCGGATTTATTGTTTACTAGCGGGGATTCAAACCAAAAATAGCGGTTCGTAGTGAGCGGCTTCACAGCAGGTGGCGCCTGCAGTGTCGCGGAAATTAACATGGCGAGGTTATATTTATTTTCCAGTTAGTGAACTCAAAATTCGCGTTGTTTTTCAATGTTTTTCACTGTAGTGGCATAGAAACAGCTGAAAAGTGCTCAATAGTGTTCTAGACGGTGTTGGTGCAATTAGTGGCCGGGGTTCTATAAAGGAATCGTCCGAAAACTCACTTTCAAAGTTTTGTCTAAAGGAATTTGTGGTATTTCCGAATCTTCAGCTTTCTTTCGTGCTTTTTGCCCTGGTAAGTGTTGAAATGGCTTAAATGTGTTGTGTGGAGGCGGTTTTTTGAGTAAATCGCCTCAAATATTGTTGACAACTAGGTTGGGGTTCATTTGAGTGACTTAATTCCCTAATGAAGTACTTTGGGGGCAATGCGTGACATTCGGCAGTGCTTAAGTGGGTTATTAATGCCATTACGGGGATTTTATTTCAATTTCTGCTTGCCTAGCTGGGCAGGTCAGTGGTGGAAAATCAGCCTTCCAGTACCAAATGGTACCCACAGTCGCCCAGCTGATTACTGAGATTCAGGTCAGTGTTCTTGTCTCCTAATTGCCTGCCAGGATGTAAGAGCCCAATTACATTGACTGTAACAGCAAGGTCTGGGCTCAATGTACATGGAAATTCGTCAAGGTTTCAACAGGAAAGTTTCCTTAACTGTTGCTATTCGCGGCAATTTTCCACTATTTTATTGGAAAACTTGGAAGCCATGTGAAGCTTGTGTATATTCTCAAGTCTACGGAACGACTTTCGTAGGGCCATTTTGGGAGAACTTTAAAGTTGTCTTCATATCATCAGTTAACACTGTTATTTATTATCCAAAGCAAATGCCTACATCACGGATTAGTGTTTTGTTTAATGGCGGATAGGGCACATCTTGCGCGATTGGGGTCGCAAAAAATTGAAACAATCCGCGAATTTTTCCATTTCTGAGTTGAAATTTGCAGATTTTCTGCAAAATGGGCGTTTCCTTCACCATTCTGTGCCATTTTCCCCGTCGATAGTGCGATATTTGCTAAGAGAACGCGGTTTATCCGAATGAGAATTTCTGACGTTGGCCGTCAGAGACCAAAGAAACTGATACGCGCCCACTGTTTGTCACATTGAAGTGTTCATTTAACGTTTCCAGGAAATTTTAAAGTTCTCCTTGTTTTGAGTTTTGGAGAACAGGCGGTCTGGAAACTGCAAATCTTCCACATTTTATAACTGGACTTGGTTTCTATTAATTTTTTAAGCATATATGCCCCCTAAACTGTTAGAGTTTGTTGTGCACCACCCTGTATTATAGAGGCGTTTATACATGGTGACCCAAGTTTAAGCAATAAAACTTCAACAGCGTGCTGTTTGGTGCAAAAAATTAACATTTCGTGATATGGCATCGCAAACTAACGATTGTATACTTGCTGGCTATGAGAGTCCAGTCACATTTTTTCGTGCACCAGTGGTGGAGATTCTGGGGTTGATAAAGATTTTTGCCCTCAACTTCTACGCAAGGGCGGATCCAGGGGGGGGTCATGACCCCCATGAAAACTGCTTTGCTCAAAACCCGCCGCCGATCAAGGGCGGATCCAGGGGGGGG